TGAATTACAACGTCATTTACGTACACATACTGGTGAAAAACGTTTTGCATGTCCAAAATGTGGTAAACGTTTTATGCGTTCGGATCATTTATCAAAACATTCAAAAACTCATGAGATTTCATCATCATCATCATCAACTACAATATCACCATCATCGTCGACAATAATTAATGATCATCAACCAACTGAACTTATGGAAACAACTTTACGAAGTAATTGTAGTAGTACAAGTAGTGAAGAAATATCTGGTGGAATATCATCACATGAAGATGATGATCAAGATGAAATTATCGATGTGCAATATTGACACTTATATAAAACTCAAAAATAACAGTGATGTATAAACATTTCTTTTCTCTCTCTCTCGAATGTCTCGGTGTTTAGTGTGTGTGTGTATGTTTGTTTCTTCGTATATTATTGTATATGTATATAAATGAAAATTGTCATTAACTACTTTTTATTTATTCATAAAGAAAGAAGACTTTAATTGATTATATAAGCGCCTTTTTTTTACTCATTTATTTATTATGATTAGAAATTCGGATAAACCAACCGAGATATGTAATAATAATCAGGTACATGATTGATTAATCGAGATAAAAATCGAAGATATTTATCGTTAGTTATTATCTATTCCGATTGATGGTAGATGGTTATGGGATGAAAAGAAGAAAGAACTTGTTTATGAAAGGTATGAATGTACAAAAGATAATTAATATTTTATTTGATTAAAGTCGACATGAAATAAATGAAGTGGAAAAATTCAATTCAAATGATATATTAAAAATCGACATCAGAACAGGTTTAATTAATTATCGGAAACAACGTCGATCGTTCGAACATATTATCAAAACAAAAGAGAATAACAAAATTACACTTAGTGATGTTATTCGTTAGTTGACTTTTTGTTTTATGTATCTTATTCATGGGGAAGCTTTTGTTTAGAAGCATCACTTAATATAATGAGTGAAATATTTTATATACCCATTGAATTTGAAGAATATATGAGGTAATATGTATATATTATAATAGTAGACAAAACAAATGAATGAAATAGAATGCCACAAGTTCATGAATATCTATTAGGATTACTTAATTATTTTTATTGGTTTTTTGAAATAACAAATAATACTTCATTAAAAACTGAACAACACATGTAAACTAAATGTTAAAAATGGCAATTTATTGTTAAAGATTTTTTTAGAGATTATTCACAAATGGAGAAAAATCGAATTCATATTGCATATGCTCATTTACTTGCTTCGTTACGTGAACTTAGTTGTAAATATGCTATATTATTATTAGGTACTGATCTAAAAGATTTTCATCATATGCGTAATGGCGAGTAAGAATCAAATAAATTCTTATTTAATAATTAAATCCTATCTTCATTAGTCTTTTTTATTCATGTACGAATATTGATCGAACTATCCATGAATCTCTTTTTATTCTATCAACTTATTTGATTTGGATAACATTTTATCGACAAAATTTTGATTTAATTCAAATTGAATTAGCTCGGTAGATCTAGTATTTCTAATTTGAAATCAATCGATATTATCTATTTAAGATTATTTCGAGCTGGTAGTCATGTAGAAACAATCAAAATTCCAATCACAGAAGTTAATAAATAAAGTAGAAAATGTTTGTTAGCTTTTCTATTGTAGAGTTTAGAAGGTCGAATAAAAAATGAAGTATCCAATGTACCTATGGCTCGACATAAATTGATTGATTGTACAGAATTCTTTTCAAAAACTATGGCTAAAAAAGCAGCAATTATGAGAACAAGTGAAGTTTCTAATAAAAATCTATCTATACAACGTACAAGTTCGATGTTTTGGAAATCAAATGATATTTCTCATTTACAAAATCGAGTAAAAGATTTCAATATGTAAGTTAATTATATTATTTCTCTATTAAGAAATGTATTTTTTTAATATTAATTAGACAAGGTATGATTTTTATTTTTATAAAACAATATGTAATCTGCTGATAGAAGAAAATGATGAATTATATGCACTTGGATTCGATGATAAATCACCTTATTATCGTCAAAAACATAAATTACGTATTTCTCAACATAAAAATCGTATTCGTAGTATTTTAACGAAACAATTCAAAAATAGAAATGAAAATCTTACCGATGAACAACATTATCAATTGAAAAGTAGATATTTTTCCGAATAAACTTGTATTAAATTTGCTCAAAAGGTAATAGCACGAATGAGCAATCAACAAAAGAAGAAATTAAAAATAAAATACAAGAAAAAAATCGAACAAAAGAGTAATTAAAACGCATTTCATATCTAAATTGATATCTTATCTTTTATTATAAAAAGCGAACGTGTTATTATGAAACAATTTTTAAGGTAAAATAATAAACCATGTCAATGAGGATATAATTATTTTTTTAGTTCATCATCTTATAAACATTCATTTATGTTACCTGCACCACCTAATCCATTGAATGATTCTCATAGGTAGATATATTTTTAATGATTATATACTTTTCTAAATATTGTATATTTAGAATGAAAGAAAAACAATTGATTTTACCTAAAATTCAATTTAAATTGATAGAAAAGTAGATTGAATTAATTTTCTTTGATCAAAAACAATAGTTTTTAATTATAGTATTGGTATTATTGGAAAACCTTATTCAGATTTCGATTTAATACGATTGATATTAAAACCGAATATTGAAAATAATATAACTATTCCTTCAGAATTTCTTGTAACTATGCCAAATGTAGTTCATCATAGTTAAAGTAAATATTTTAATTGATACAATAGAGTTTGGGGGGAAAAATTTTATCGTTATAGATGTTCGTAGTATTCAATTAAAAGCCAAGGAAGATTGAATATTGTGATTTTTACAATCTTGAGAATTCTGTCTGGTTATGGTGACCTTATTCTGCAATCTATATGTCCTTAAACAAAGGTTAACAAATCCACATGATTGCAGAAAGAAAGAAAAAAAAATCGAAACTGACTATACAATCACATCGATTGAATCCTGTTAAGTGTGGCTTTTTTTCTCACAGGAATTACTCATATCGACTGATTAGAAATCCATATTTATTTTGAATAAGAAGAAAAACAACAACTAGGAAGAATTGATAGTATTAATAGAACAATATAATATGTGACTATTTGAAAATTCATAACTGGCATCAGTCATACGGGTACTGTTGATCTTTATTGATGACATATTTTCATTACAATTTTGATAAGAAAACGACACTTTTAGCATGCATTGTACCGTATTTACTAGACAATTTCGTTAAATAACTTTTTCTTACCTATTAATAATGAGATGTACTTAGAAGAATCGACAAAATAAATGTATATTTGTTTAGTTAGAAATGAAAATGAATTGACAAATCATTAAACATAAGTTTAGTTGTAAATCAATATAGATTTGTTAAACTATCATATATACAAAACATTAGTTTTAGTCTGCTGCTCATGATTTATTTTATTTGAAACTTTTTAATGAGATTCAGATAAGACAATGATGTTACAACAACAAAAAACAGAAATCGCTTTTTCTATCGTTACAAAAAAAAAGAAAAAAAAACTAAAAGTTTTCTTTTCGTCTAAAGTGTTTTTTTACTGTCGTCGACTGTGGTATGTGAAAAGTATTTTAACGTTTGATAATTTCGATACCAAATTGACCAAACACTTTCAATTTTATAATCAATGCCGTTATCATTTGCCCATTGTTTAACAATTGGTCTTAAACGTGCATACTTATATTTCGGCATTGTTGGAAATAAATGATGTTCAAGTTGATATTGCATTCCACCCCATAACCATTCCATGAAAAAATTGTCACATCGAGCATCACATGTTGTTAAAAATTGTGTTTCAACAAATGAATGATCTGAATCACTAAGCATTTCTTCACTTTGATGTGTTGCGGTAACAATAATAGCGACTAAAAAACCACCAAGAAGAACTGAACCAAGAGCAACTTGCCAACCTAGCATATAAAGCCATGTATAACTTAGTAACATAAAAAACATTTCCGAATAATTTAATGTACGAAATGTATGTTGAAAGGATTGCCATCGCCAACTTAAATATAATAAGGAATAAACGGGTATAAAATATAAATGTTGATAAGGACGAAACCAAACATCTTTGTCTTGTGATGGAAAAAATAAATGAAATACTGGATCATTAGCAACATCCGTATCAATTCCAAGATTATTTGTATAAACATGATGTGTATTATGTTTATGTGACCACCAAGTTGGACTAAAGCCGTTAACACAACCTGTCATTGTTCTGCATAGCCATTGCATCCATGTACCTCTACCATGTGCATAATCATGTCCTATCCAACCAGCTTGTTGCATACCAAATCCAATAGTAAGAATAGCTAGAAGATTGTAGCCCCAATAAAAATGACAAAATGTACCGAATAAACATAAAGCATATACTGATAGAAGATAAAACATTTCCCAAGATATTGATCGATTAAAATATCCTTCATCGATTAATTTTTTTCGTAATTGCCGAAAAGATAATACAACACTAGTTGGTTCTAGATATGGTAATGCATATTGAACACGAGTAGATGAACATGGTTTTAAATGTGATAAACGTTTAATAGCTTCAGCACTATGGAGAGAATAAAATGCATCTGTTGCATCTTTTCCATTTAAATTATGAAGAATTTCTCCACCACCTGGATGATAATTTTGCCATTGAGTCAGATCATACCATTGCCCATCAATTTGTATATGTAAACGATCATTATTAATGTATGATGGTGATGATGATGATGATTCATGATGTGCACTTGTTAAAATTTCATGATTTGTTTCACCATTTGGTGGCATAATGAAATATATATTATTCTAATAATGCAACAAATATCTCAATCCAATGAGAAGACTATTAATGGCTAGGACAGGTTAAGATATTAACCTTATCAACTAGTATCTAGAAAATATAAGAACAGTTAAAGTATATGGTGCAAAAGAAAGTAATGACGTGGTCGCAAATATTTTTTTCAAACCTTAAAACTGTAAGTAAATATTGATTTTATCGGCGATCGATACAAAATAAACGCGTTCGTAAAGTGACATCTTTTCTAAATTTATATAATAGTTGGAATTTAACCTTCCTTAATGTACCCAGAATCATAGAATAATTCTACAACCTCGAATGGACGAAATTCTGTTTCTTTTGACATCTATGCCCTACAGAATTTATTATCTATTTTATGAAAACAGAAACTTTTATCTTTAAATAAATTAATACCAACAAAAAAAAACACATATGGAGCTAATGGCTTTAGATTCTTCTCTTATCGATCATTTCAAAAGGTTATATGAAATAGGAATTTTTATCTGATTAATCTATCGATTGAAAAAATAAATGAAATATTCGTCTAGAATAAGATGACTAACTATCGAATGTCATAAATATAAAAATCTTTCCATTAAGTCTCATAAAACTCCTCTACTCCATAAGGATCCTTGTTCATCCAATTGAAAAACAAGATAGAGTTTTCTTTTTCTGTCTGCATACATTTTTATAGTTATAGTCACTACTGACTAACAGAATTTATTGTAGAACGATTATTGGTTAGAAAAAAAACCTCATATGACAATCCAACTTAAACCAAATTACGGTTCAGTAAACAGAAGAGGGAATAATATTTTTGCTCATAAACAAATTTCGAACAATAGATACTAAAAATGTCTGATTGATTCTATTCGGCATAGATCTATGATTAATATTTGTATATGATAAGAAAAAGTTTAATTTACAGACTTTACCAAGGGGGAAAAAGCGATTTGTGATTTAATTTTGATTTTCAGGTGATTTAAGTCAGTTTTTTCCCCCTTGGACTTTACCCTTATTTTTTGTGAGTCGTAATAGGCGCATATAAATTTATCTGACGTCTTATTATATTATTCACTAAAGTATTGTAACGAGTTACATCATAAAAATGCAATGGGATAGATAATATTATTTTCTTATATATAAATTACATGACATGAAAATACAGCGTGATTAGAAGCTGATTATGAAATACAATAATATTCATATCTATACAATATTCAGTAGTACATCAACAAAAATAAGAGAAAATAATACTATTAACTTAACTTAACTTTTTCTTGAATAGCATCATTATTTTTACTATTGTCATTGTTATATTCGAAATTTATAGTGTGAGTACGAGTAACAGATTGCTTATATAGGCAAGCAATCATTATTATAAATGTGTTTTTTTCTTCATGAAATCACTTGATTATATAATATCAATTGAAATATTTATAACTTCTGACATTTATTTAATATAACTATCAAATAATTTGAGAAAAGAGAAATAATAGTAGATTTTTGTACTTACATATCGGATCGATTATATAAATAATGAGTTAAACTAACATTCGAACACTATATATGGGGGGAAAAAAACAACAAGTATTGTTTCGTTTGTTTTGATAACCAACGCATGTACTTTGGTATTAGTTAATACACCTACCTGTTGTGATAAATAGAAAGTCAATGTCAAGGTCAACGATAACATGTCAATAAGAAAGCATTTTGTTTGATAAAGAAAATTTGTCTCCTAACTGTACATAAATGAATGATAGATAAATAAAAAAAACGATCTTTTCTAATATAACAAGTGTTATACATTAATATGGCTCACTAAATATTTCAAAAAAACATCGCCTGCTAACTTATAACAACATAGAAAATGATTATATAAAACTTTTCATGTTTACTGATAATATTACCAATCAAATACAAAAAAATATTATTTAATATATTAATCGATTTATCGAATATGACACATCGATGATTTATTTTTTCGTCTACTTATTGTCTGCTATTTATAACGTGGTTATAAAAACATTTTATCCAAAATATAATCAGATAATACATAGATTATTCAATGATAGTTTTATTTATAAGAAAATTAAATACTTGCAATCTTGACCTATTTTTTAAATTAAATCATTTAGGATTTCATATGACCTAAAATGTAAATTCGTACTAATCCTGTTAAAAACTCATTTAAAAATAGTGAAAAAAAACATTTTCTTACAAGCAAGATCATGAGGTCATAATATATTTGAGAACGTTTATAAATATCATTGATACATATTTATCCATTAGGAGATTCTTTATATACAATCAATAAATAATGAATCTACAGATTTAATAGAAGGAGAACCAGGGCAAATACTGTGTGTGATATTATTTAGAAATAAATGATTTGTTGTTTTTATCGATATTTATTCTATACATACTGGAAATATCAGATTTCATGATCATCGTTATTATAAACGAGACCTGGAAGGGATAATAGTTTCAACTATAATATAACGAAAGAAATAATTATTTCGTAAACAATTTTATCCATTATAAAACTTCTTGGATTATTGGGTTTTGAAAATAAACATAATTTATTAGATAAAAATTGATGAATTGTGCATATTTTAAGTAATTGTTTTCTTCATCAAAAGCTGATTAACATTAACAACTACTGTCTTCTGTTTTGACAAAGACATTAGCTTTTGAGAAGTATTTAAGCTTCTTTACAAAATATATTAATAATTTCTCATTCATTTGTATTGTCAATCTAATTCAAAAAGAAAATATTTATATTCTGAAGAATTATATTTTTCTATCTGAGTACTTTATTTAACATTTCTAAAGAAAATAGATAAACGTCATTAAACTGTCTGCGAAAAGCTAAGAATGTTATCTAATCTTAATATCTTTGTCTTTATTATTATAGAATCCCTAATCAGAATTTTTAATAAAGCAACGGCTCATTCTTTCCTCTAGCTTCACCGAGTAGATCACGATATTAATAAAATATGTTTTCAGAAAAAACAAATTACAAGTTTTTTACCTAATGAACCAACATCCCAACTAACCATTTGTTCTTATTATTTTTTAATATGAATTAGTAGGAAATACTTCTGTTAGTTGTTTGAGCGTAACAAGCCATAAAATATAGTAATGAATATATTACTTTCTAGTTTTTTAAACAAAGTAATAGGACGGTTTGAATCTTAATAGAAAAAAACTCGCATGATTTCCAGTTTTGCGAGATTAGTCTCTTGGTAATCGAGATATTATAGAATCTCTATACAATAATAATTAACTAGTACTATGTAAATACGTTTTAATAAAAGAATTTAAAATTTGCATAAATCATTTATCTTTGAATTAAAGTAGAAATATTTTCTAATTTAAAATTTTCTAAGTAGTTATATAATGAGAAAAAATATACTTCTAGTTTTATTTTTGTTTACTCCGGTATTCCAGTAAATCGTCTAACGATTTTATTATGTCAGCACAAGTTACTAATATTATTCTGGATCTATTGATTATTGGAAGTGCTACACTTGCAGTATTAGTATCTCTTATAATGATTTTAATAATGTTAATTCATAAATCAACTATAAAACGTGATCGAACAGCTCATTTATTATGTATTAATATGTATGTATCTCTTTTAATTGGTTGTGGTATGATTTTAATCATTTACTGTTACACTCTTTATGGTCATATTTATATAATCATTTCATTTGATGGACCATGGTGTTATGCACAAGCTTATTTACTTTATGTTAGTGGATGTGGATTTTTCTATTCATATTTACTTCAAGCTATTTATCGACTTTGTCGAATTGTACATTATACAAAACCATCATTACAATCTTTTCGATTATATGTATATGGAATAGTTATTCAATGGATTCTGAGTTTTCTACAAGTTATACCAGTCCTTTTACTTAGAACATTTGAATATCTTTCTCAAGATTATCATTGTCAAATAGCAATATATAATGTACGAGGTTTAATTATGGGTTTATCAATGGTTCATATGATACCAATTTCTTTAACAACAATTTGTTGTATTTATACAATGATGTATATACGAAGAAGAAGTGTTATAAGGAAATCAATTCGTCAACAAGCTAATGATCGTCGAGATTTTCTTGTTTTAAAACGTATATTTATACTTCTTAGTATTTTAATTGCATCGGGTATGCCAACATTAGGTATTAGTTTATTTTTTCAAATTTCTGGATATCTTCCATTGTGGTCGACTCAATTTCAATGGTTAACAGCAACTTTTTCAATATTTACTGTTTCTGTGATTCTAATATTTGTTTCACCAAATATACCAAAGTTTTGGAAACGACAATGAAGTTTAGTTCAACATACTTAGAATAATTAGATGAAATTTTTTTTTGTTAATAAATTATCACGATATATGAATCTTTTATTTAATCAACACTTTATTATGCGTCCAATGACCTTATGTCAAGGTTTACACATATATGCATTGAAATGTAATAATTATCTAATTTCATCATATAAATAAGTTAATGTGCAATTCATAAGAGAATTATACTAGAAAATATGTTAATTAGATCTACTACATTCAATCATGTAGGACATGAAAGGTATTAGATATTAATAACTTTATTAGAACATGTTAGATAAGATACATAGGGTTTAACGAGTCAAATAATGAATATTATGACTGGAGGAAAGAGGTAAACCGGAAATTTACAAATACTCAAAGGTTACGTATGTAGTTTCTTCAGAGTATTAATGAACAATATATTATTTTACTCAAATGCCTACTGAGGAAAAACGATGGAATATTTTAATTATTAAATAGAGATCAACAAGTAGAATTATACTGTCTAGAAGAATGAATAAATAATATGTGGCTAAATCTCCGATGATCCCGCTCTACAATCTCTCATTTCTTAACTCTTTACTATTGCATATTGTTTACAGTACTTGAGATATTATCATTTATATTTATATTTTTAAAAAATGCAGAAAAACTTATACTCAAGAGAATCAATCCTATAACTAAGTCTTCCATTCGATTGAATCAGAAAGACAAAATAGTATCGGATCCGGTCGGTTAAAATCTGATTAGTACAACTTTTATGAGCATTCATGTAATCAGTATTCGATTATATACTTAGGATTTGATCGATTTTAATCATCTACATCACTCATGAATCAAAAAAAAATTAAATCCCTAAGAAGTTTTTCAACATTTAGTTACAATATATCTAAATGAATACTTATGACAGCAGTAATTCTATCGTTTGAAAATATTAAAGTTAAATAGCGACATCTAATATTCATTATTTTGATTTGTATTATTGGATACTCCAATCCACATATACACCATAGTATTTTTTTTTTAATAATACTCATCTTCGTCGTTAGTTTTTTTTATCTACATTCATATTATATTTTATTTGTTTATCTAAGCAAAAGATTTTTCATATATTGATAATGACACTTCCACAATTATTTGCTCATATTGATGGAATTGAAGCTATACTTGTATTGGATAAAGATGGTACACCAATATTAAAATTACCTACAGCTGAAGCTGTTGATCAACTTGATTTACAAACAATAATACCATCGGCGCAAACATTACAAGATCAAAGTCAACGAATGAATTTAAAAAAATTAAAAACTGTTGTTACATATTGGTCAGCTCGTCAAATTATAACTTATAATGTTCCACCATTGGTTTTTATTATTGCTGCTGATACAAATGTTAATACAGGTGCATTGTTAAATTTATACAATGATTTTCAAACAATTTCTTCCGAAGAATTATCAAACAAAGCATAGATTTTCTCTGTAAAACTTTTCTTTGTTATTATTTGTTCGATCAAAATAAACGAACGTTTCTTTTTTTTATTTTTGAACTTTGTATAACGATGATAGTGAATATGTATCATGATATTATGTTGTATTCTAGATCAGAATGATTGACGAAGATTTATCATATTTTCTTGATGAAGATGACGAAGATTATGATGAAGATTTATCTCTATGGACTTATAATGATTGGTTAGCATCTGGAATTGAAACATCAGCTGATTTTAATCAATTTTTTGATAGTGACCTTGTACGATTAACATCACTATCACCACCAAATTCTTCAATGCCTATTGATAGTCTATCATCATCAAATTTTCTTTCATCAGAATCTTCATCATCACCATTAATTTATTCATTAATTGATCTCACTGAAAATTGTATATCACCAACTTTATCACAATTTGTATATAATTTATATGGTATACTATTATTTTGTTGTCTATTTCGTTTTCTTTGTTCATCAAAATTATTTTCATCTCAAACACTTCATTGTATTCAAATATGTTCGAGTATATTTATTCTTGGTAATTATTTTCATTTTCAATCGATATATTTATTAACATATATATTCATGGGTTATTTATCATTTCAACTTTGTTTGGATAAATGTCGAAATTATTTAACATATATTATCGTTTGTTTTTCAATTATATATGTACTTGCATGTGAATTTATTCTTATTGAATCAGAAAAATGGCATAGTAAGTAGAAATAAATGATATCTATACAGTACAACAATCTTATATTTGTTTTTGTAGGTATTCGTGGAGTTCAGATGTGTCTAATGATGAAAATGATATCTCTTGCTATTGATTATACATATTTTGAGAATTTATCTACATTAAATACAAATGAATCAATAATATATCCAACAACTATTGAATTTTTTAGTTATATATTATCCATACATAATATAGTATTTGGTCCATGGATGAATTATCGAAATTATATACGTTATTTTCATGAAAATAATTCTACACGAAAATTTGATTTTTTTGAATTAGCTAAATGGACATATTATTTTCTTCGTGTTGCTGTTTGTCTACTTGTATCAACTTGTTTAACAGATTGGTTTCTTCGAAATATATTTTTCTATGATGATCGACAAGATAATAATCAAAATGGATGGCGTATTGCTTATATTCAAGCATTATCCTATCGTTTTAGTCATTATTCTGTTTGTTTTATTGGTGAATTATTTGGTCAAATAAGTGGACTTGAATTTAATGTTGATGAATATCGGAATTATTCACATATTTGTCAACAAGCAACTGAACGTATTAAATTAGAAAGAATATCTCGTGAGCAAGCACAATTAGAAACAACAGCTGCAACAACGGATCTTCATACAGGAAAACGAAGACATAGACATAAAAAGAATAGTAGTAAGCAAGAAGATCATGATGTAATTATTCCAACAGCAAGTAGTGGTGAACATAATGATTCAAGTCAGATAAAGTAATTGATATTTAAAAAAAGAACAAGGTTTATTTAGATTTTTATGATTCATTAGTTAAATGTCATGACAGAATATATTATTTCCGATTGAATAATTCGTATGTATACATCTAAGTAGTTCTTCGAATTTTAATTTGTTTATTGATATAAAGAGAAAACACGAGTATATGAAATATTATCACTGATAATAAAAGATATGAAGATGCTTGTATTACTGTTTCACCTTTATTTAAAATTACTCGTGAAAGAAAAATTTGTTATATAATTGAAATGTTTATTCTTGTAGTGCTGTAATTGAAAATGAATCATCAACAACAGTTGATCGTGAATGTGCAATAAATGAAGAATCAGATGTTTTACTCAATCGTTCTCTAGTCAATCGACGTGGTTTGAAAAAACCAGTTTTACACAATCCACCACCATCATCTAAACATAAAAATCCCATTCGATCAAATCATTCTACTTCATCAACATTATTCACAAAACCAACTCTTTCTTCTTCTTCTTCTTCGTCTTCTTCTTTACCATTAATGACTACGTCAGATTCATCTTCTATTGTAAAACCATTTCATATTGAAATACCACGTTCATTAGTTGATGTTGTTGTTAATTGGAATTTACCAATGCATTATTGGTTAAAAATCTATGTTTATATGCCAATGAAACAACAATATGGTTATTTTGTATCAATTCTTGTTACTTATCTTGCATCAGCACTTTTACATGGATTTAATTTTCAATTATCAATCGTTTTATTTTCAATTGGTTTATATGCATATGTTGAACATGGCTTTCGGCGTAAATTAGCAAATATTCTCGATGCATGTGTTGCAGCACGTAAATGTCCATCACGTTCATCATGCGAAAAACATACATATACATATTGGCATCCATTGACAATAATTGTTAATATATTTTTATGTCTTCTCAGTTTGTGGCATCTCACCTATTTGGGACAATTATTTGATAATAGTTCACAAGAAACAACTGGTTATTCATGGCAACATGTTCTTGATAAATGGGCAAAACTTAATTTTGCTTCACATTTAGTTGTTATTGCTACTTATGCCATATTTCGATCATTATAAATCTCATTTTAATGTCTAGTCAATTTGTTGTGTATATGTGTATAGAAATTTTTTTTTTTCTTCTCATCACTGTTCTCTCATTCAGTGGATAATCTATTATTTGTTAGTATTTAAAATGTCCTGTGAAAACAAAAATGTTGTATTTTTTTTTCGTTTAATATTAAAATAAAAGTCAAATATCTTTTTTCTCTGTTGTGTTATAATTATTAAGTGATTTTCAATTAATACACAGTTTCCTTTTTTTTCCTCCGTGTCATAAATAATCAGCATCGTTTCTAATTAAACAAAGTGCGACCTTGCTACTTCTCAAGTAAATAGATGCTTGCTTAATCGACACATTGTACAACAGCTGGATTTCATTTTCTTTTTACATTCGATTTAACTCATTATATAGAATACATGAGACATACGGAGTAAAACATCATCAATTATTTATCTTTCATATTGAAGACATTCTCTTCAGTTTGATTATTATCTGTCAACATTATTGTTGCTATTGTGTAATCAGATCAATTTTTTATATTTACATAATTTAATGTTTTCTTGACTTATATTTCTTGACTAGTGTCAACATAGTTGATAACTGTTCATCATTGTATATCTCCCATTGAGAAATAAATAAACAATCATCTTAACGATTAGCTCCTCTTTTATTCTTCTTTATACGCACGCGTATGTACATACGTGTGTGTGTGTGACATTGCACTCCCCGCTTCTGTGTGTCTAGACTTGATTGTTGAACAATATGTATGTACATATGGAAAGAGAATAGGCAGAAAAAATAAGAATATTAAAAATACGGTAATAATGTGTTCAACAAGCTCGATTGTACAGAATAGAGTATGTACACTCAATATGATTGTTATGCATTCTATTATCATAATAATCAAGATTCACGTACTATTGATTAAAATTTAATAAGATTTTCAAAATTTTGTTCATGTCTAATTCAATGTTTAACTAAACTCTTGATATACAATATAACAAACAAAAAAAACATTCTCATAATCTCTAAATATACATTTGATAGTGTATGGTCAAACAGTCAATAGTTATTATTGTTCTTAGTTTTTTTTTCTTTGTCATACTACTTGATAAGTATGATGAATTGATATCTTCTAATGCATATAGTGATCAATTTTGTATATTTATTGTAAGGTTAATCATTGGTTTCAACTATACTCTTTATTGTTGAAAGGCGGGAAAGACAAATCTAAAGTGAATCCAATAGGATGAGTTGACCTTGCTCAAGCGTTCTTCCAAAATGATGACCGATTTGAATAAAATAAGGAAGAAGAGCGAATGAACAGAAGCGACTAAACAACCTTCGTTTCTTCTATTCTCTATATAACGAACACACTATGAGAGCCAAAAAAGAGTCGACGTGAGGAAGAGGGAGAGCGAGAAAAGAACGGCAGCATGCTTGCTCATTCATTCGTTGACAATATACGAAAGAAGACAGTCTATATAGCATACACAGAAATATTCTCATCGACATTAGAGTGTTGCTCGTACACACACACACACACACACAAAAGAAGTGAGTACAAAAAAAGTAGATTGTTGACGGACATATAAGCAGCGGAGATAGAACTGTTTGCGCGACATGTTACTCAGGAAATTGAAATATAGTAGTGGCAACCGGCTGTAAAATAGAATCTATATATATATGCGTGGATAAATTGATTTCTTTTCTTTGCTAAATTATATGATGAGACAGCTGTTTATATGAGTGTTACACAGAGAGAAAAAATATAATTATTTTATTGCATTAAATCATACTTTATCTTACATATGTCATTCAATAGAATATTTTCCCATTCGATTATGCCTATAAGTTAAAACCCTATTCAACTCATACTCATGTAATAATCTATGTACGTATGCACGATTGCATATTTCATCAATATTGTTATTCTTGTCGATCTGATCAATCTTTTTTCTTTATTTATATATATATATATATATATATGAAAAGAATATGAAGCTTTTTAAGGGTCTTATAACCTGAGGAAGAAAACATAAAACAAACGTTTTCATAAGTATATTGATTAAACCTTGCTTTGATGAAGTCAATGAATATCAAAAAAAACCGCTGAAATTCTAGCTAGTGCCAATCGCTTTTAGAAAAATGACGAGCTAAATGATGATGTAATTGCTCTGACACACCCATGTATTTATATACACAGCTGTCTATCTGTCTTGAGTTGACATTTTCTCTCATGCTCTTATTCCATCATACATGTATGTTCAATTTTCTTTGCCTCGTTGTCTTCCTCGAGTTGCACAGATGGATGACGTAACATGATTCAATTCTTGACCATTTTTTCTCTCTTTCTTTTTTTATGTTAATAAAACGGATGTCGACTAGACACTACTTGCAAAAGTGATAGCAACAAGCAACTACAAATTATGATAGATGATGATTCTAAATAGTAGAACCAGTTTTTTTCTTCTTTTATAAACTTGTCAGTACTGCAATTAACTTTGTTCTGTCATATAATAAGAAAACATATGTTGCTTTATACTAGTTGCATATAGAAATGATTAGCATCTAATATGAAGAAATATACGGTCAGCGTGTGAAACGGACATATACCGCTTATAGAAACATCATATTCAAGGACTATATGTGCATGCGTGCAAGAAAAATCAGATTATGATCATCGAGTAAACGAACGAATGAACGAGAAATGGGTGGGAAAGATGAAAAGTGAATGTATTCTATGAGTGTAGAGTCGCCGTCACGATTTTTTCATGTTCAGTGACCATGATAATTTTTTTTGTTTCTACCCTGCGAAGAAAGATTGTTGAAGAAGATGTGTTTTTTTTTTTCTTTATTCTTTTCTAGTTTTTTTTTTCTTCTTTTTCTCTCTTTAGATAGATATCAAGCGCTCGACACACACACACACACACACCACATACAAGAATACTCGTTTTCTTCTTCTTCTTCTTTCTCTTCTCTTCTATTCCAATAACGACGATGGTAACTCTTAGTACTACTAATGGATTTTATTCGCTATTCGTGCTCGAGTAATCGTAACATCGCCAAGAGATGACAACTTGTTTTTAACTGACAAAAATCATGATGGCAAATCAATATAATCAACATTTACGATCACATGATCAATACTCTTTACTATCACTATCATGTTTCGTAACTTTCATCATTTTTCTTCAAGGCCCAATTCTTGTAGTTGCTGAACTTAGTCAAGTAAGTTATTATATCACTTTTTTCTTCTTCTTTCCTAAGGCTTTTCTTTTTCTAATGATGAGCATGCTATTTTTACACGAAATATAGCATGATCAAATTCGATTAGCTAATATCCTTTAAAGAAGCTTAATTCAAATAAATTTCATGTATTTCTCATCATTTTAAAACTCTTTTCTCTTCTTAGTATGAAATGATGATGGCATTAAATCGTGGATTTAATTTAAATTCAACAACGACAACAGTTTTAAATAATAATCATGATGATGCAGCTGATGAAAGTAATAAGAATAATTAATAATAGAAAAAACCGAAAATAAAGTCTCATTTATTTTTAGATGGTCCAGATATTTATGATGATGATAATGAAGGTTATGATGAAACATCAACATTACCGACAACATTGCGTTTACGATCAAGATTAACTCCGAATATAACATCACATTTACCCGCACACGTTGAAGAAGTTCCAAAAAGTGATTATGAAGATGAATCTGATTCATATCCAAATGAATCAAACGATGATGAAACAACAAATCCAGATGATACACAAGTATTTGGTGATAGAATATCCAATAATCCATCACAAACTAAACCGGATATAATGAATTCCAATAAAAAAAATGGCTTAGATTTATCAACAACATCAACATCACGAATACCATTTTTTTCATCCAATCTTTGGCATGATCTTTTTTCTAAACCTGGAATTCTTGTTGGTATGTTGATCTTTTTGTTTTATCATAAAAGACATACATAAATCTTTTTTCTTATTATATAGGTATTATTGGTGGAATTGTCATTGGAATGTTATCTGCTATTCTACTTGTTATGTTCATAATTTATCGTATGCGTAAAAAAGATGAAGGTTCATATGCATTAGAAGAAGGACCTAGGAAATCACCATCACATGCCTATACACGTGTATCATCAAGAGAATTTTTTGCTTAGAAATTCGTCTGATAGCCTATAAAAACAAACAAATATATGAATTTGCACATATCACAGCGTTGAATTCAAATTCATTCCGCATCATGAATTATTTTTTAAAAACAGAAACATATGTTGTTTTTTCTTTTCTTATTGTATTTGTAAGTATTGTGGTCTTGACTAACCAAAAATGTTATTAGTTTTTTTTCTCTCTCTCTCTTTCTTTCTCTTTTTTTATTACTTGTGTAATATATGAAAATTTTATTGATTAATACCAGAATATTTTTTACCTAAATACCAAAATATTGGAATGAATATAAGAATAGAAAAAATGAAAATGAAAAATAGATGAAGAACATTTTTAATTGTAGCAATTTTTAATTTATATCGTTTAATAATATGATTTGTTTCATTATTTTGACAAATATATTCTCCTTCATCATCAAATATTAAATGATTAATAGTTAATTGTAGATTATGAGATGAATATTTTATTTCATATTTATTTGAATTAGTCATAATTGATTGATTATTTGGTCCATACCAGAGAACATTGGGAAGAGGACAATATATTGAATAGCGAGTCTTTTCTCCACGAATGACATTATGAGAATTAATACTAATTGTTATTGATAGGAATATTATGAAGTGAATAGGGAATGAATGCATTTCTTTTTTCAATACGCGCGCTTTCTTTTTTTTTAAGAGCATAATGAAATAAAAGCATGATGATTTTGTTACTAACTCTTTTTGATTAAATGACATATATGATCAAAGCACGTATTGGATTACGAAAAAGCTTATGTCAATACATTTGTCATCAAAGTATAAAGGATTAAATATCAGTTGAATGATGAATTTTTTTGTTCAATAAATAAAACAAGTGTAACCAAGAGAAACCTTTGTCTGACATAAGTAATACGAGTAGTTGAATTTTTTTTTGCTAATAACACTAGAAATACTATATAATTATTATTAATGATATCTACTAATTAGAAGAACTAGATTGCTTTAGGTATATACAAGACTTTGCTTTTAAAAAGGATAATTGAATGCTTTGCTAGAAAATAACTAAAGTTGTTCTTTTAGTATGACATTGATAGTGAGAGTACAAGCCTCAAGCCACTATCATGAATCTTAAAAGAACGAAGATTTTTTGAAGTTCATACACCGTTCTTCTTAGTAGAAAGTATAGACAATTCTTACATGACCTTTAAGATAAATGTCGCATATTACATGTATATTCATGCATGTAAACTGCAATTAACGACCGTAAAGAGTTATTGCATTTTGATTTACACATCAACGGACATTCTGTATAGATAATATACGAGTTTTAGCTCGTTATAGAATATTCATATCGAATGTAATAAGTATATATATATATGGTAACTTATTTATTAGTAGAAGACAATGGCCATCAAAACAAGCGACAGGCAGTGCTTTATAATAATAGATGAATAAATTACTTCTATTATTTAGTATAACAATAACATTGTCTTGTTAAATATTCTTCTTTCATATTTCATTTAAAATTGTATATAACGACTTGTATTGTACTGATGGATATTTTATTGACGAAGAAATTTCTCTTACTTCATCTATCTTGTCCGAAGAATAAGGTCTATTGATTCCTTTTTTTGACAAAAATCTCCCATTGACGTATGTCATAACAATAGACTCAACACTATTGATTACGATTAAGCAACTTTTGTAAGTGCAATTTTCACATACGTAAAAATAATCTCATACAAACAAAAGATTGTCGTTTGTTGATGTATTATTCCCTATGGTAATGTAATCAAAGTCGACATCATATACATTATTATCTTTTTATGAGTATATAT